ACACACACACACACACACACACACACACACACACACACACACACACACACTGCCTCCCACAGCCAGCCCTTCCTCTCTGGAGAAATCTTCACTTTACAGCGGCCCAGTAGGTCTCTGGGGAGGCGGTGTGATTTAGAAATCAATGCTGTTCATTTCAGGCCTCGTAGCTGCTGGCTAGAATTGATCTTAAGGGAAATCTGCTTTATTGGGAGAGAGGAACACATTATGTTAAATTAGGAGAAGTAAAATATATGGAATCGATGAATTCAGGGGAAAGCTGGGAGAAACAGACAAGGTGAAGACAGTAGTATGTGTCAGGAATGCAGGGAATGCAGGTGAGGTGCAGCCACGAGGCTTAGGGGAGACAGATGGGACCAAGCAGTCCGGTCCTGGCCTGGCATCGCACTAAGTTCCTTCAGGCACAGCGTAAATATTAAGGAGAGCTGAGGCTCATGCTGGAGGACCCTGGTGTGAGGAATGGGGCACTGGAAGGCATTCGTGCAGTGGACAAAGAGGAGGTCCTAAGCAGGTGGCCCTGGGTTGTGATTAGGAATGACTGGTTGTTGTGTGGGTGGTGGTATCCTCTCTGTGTGTGAGTCTGTGTGTGGCACAGTGCTCCTGGTAAGGGGTGTTAGACGGAGGCCTAGCTAATCCTTGACTTCACTGATAAATGACCCTAGGTCCCCAGGAATCATGTAGAATTGCCATCTGGAATTAGAGAAAGTCTCAGATTCCATGATGAAGGACACCAAAACAACCAACTCCAAAGACAGAATCTCCCTTGGGCACCAGTTGAAGATCTGCCTTACGTTGTCTCTGTGTTGAAGGATAAATGTGGGAAGCTCCATGGCATGCTTGTGAATGGCTTCACTGTCACCCTGGGCAAGTGTCCCTCTCAAGGGTGAGGGGGGGTCCCAAGACAACATAAACTCACTTTCTTTTCTTTTCTTTTTTGTTTTTTTTTTTGAGACAGGGTTTCTCTGTGTAGCCCTGGCTGCCCTGGAACTCTCTCTATAGACCAGGCTGGTCTCGAAGTCAGAGATCTGCCTGCCTCTGCCTCCCTAGTGCTGTGATTGGAGGCATGTGCCACACCTCCCAGCTATAAAATCGCTTTTTTTGTTTAAAAAAATATAAAAAAATCATGAGTTAAGAAAATGGAAGCCAATGTGCAAGCAGCCATGCTTTTACATCTGATCTGCTAAAGAGTGAGTAGAAATTGTCCCCGGATCCCTTTCCTGCCAATGGGAGAGGGATCCTCTTCCAGAACGCCACACATTCAATCTCGCCTAGTTCTCTGGCTCAGACCAGAAGGCATGGTCCTAGGTGCCTGACAGCTTTTGATGACTCCTTGCTGCTGGTGGTGGAGATGTTGGGGACTGGAGTTCTAGTGCCCGAGGATCAGAGTAGCCCAGTCTAGCGAGGGTGAGACACCCAGGATCTACCTTCAATCCTGCTTCCTCCCCAGCCTCACACCTGTCCCCACTCACCGGCCAGCAGCAGCAACCCACACAGCAGGGCAAGTCTCATGGTTCCAGCCCAGAGCGAGTCAGGCAGTCGTCAGAAGTCCCCAGCTACGTAGGCAGTCCCTTATATTAGGTCCCCCAACCCATCCTACCCAGCCTTTCTCAGCTCCTGTGGAATGGACCCGCGTGCCTCCTGCTTCCTCTTTTCTATGACTCTGGGGCTGTACTTTTTTTTTTTTTGATGTATTGGGGTCCCCACCAGATTTTTTATAAAAAAGGAAACATGTACCTAGAATGGGGGATTTGGCAAGCACCTTCAAGGTCTAGGGGATGAAACCCAAGTTCTCCGACAAGCTAGGGACGCACTCTATCCCTAAGCCACAACCCCAGCCCCACAGCCCAAGATTTGAAAAACACACAACCTGAAATGCAGGATTTCATTTGGTTTATGTCCTTGTGGTACTACCTTTTAATCTATGTATTTATGTATCTATGTATCTATCTATCATCTATCAGTCATCAATAATCTATTGTCCATCTAATATCATAAATAATTCCACCTAATACAAAAATCATAATATTATAAATATCAATAATTTATCATCTGCCATCTATGTAATCTATCATCTATCTATTGCCAATCAATTTATTATTTATCATCTTTCTAATCTATCATCTACCATTCTAACATCTATCATTCTATCTACTTACCTACTATCCGTCTATTACATGCTTACATATAAACTTTTATTTTTCTGCCTCCGGACTTTCACTTTACCAAACTAGGAAAATGCTATATGTGGTACTTTGTAGTTAGTTCACAACCTCACCCCCGCCCCCCCAAAAAGCCTCATGCAACCCAGGCTGGCTACAAACTCTTCATTTAGTCAAAGATGACCTTGAATTTCCGGTCCTCCCCCATTTCCCAAGTTCCAGAATTACAGCTGTGTACCATCATGTCCAGTCTGTGTGGTGCCAGGCTGGGGACCCAGGGCCTCATGCATCCGAGGCCAGCCCTCAGCCAACTGAGCCCCAGGCCCACCTTATTGACACCCAGGCCCACCTCAGTCTTTTCTTCCACTTATTGACATTAGCTGAACACGTTTCTATGTTGTTAAGAGTTCCTTAGCAGTGGTTTGGGGAAGCAGCCTCACGACTTCCCACTTTACCTCCTTTACCACTGTCTGTGTGATGAGTCTCTTACAGACGGACACGCGGGGTGCTGACCATCTTTTACCATTCAAGTTCAGCGACAGAGATGTCCCGACATCCCAGCTGATGCCCCACTGTTGCTTCATATGGGCTTGCTGACTCAAAGGACACCCACAATTAGACGGTCATTGACCTGTGTTGACAACTTAGCCTGCAGATGATCTGCCCCAATTTACTCGAGAGAGTCCCAATGTGACAAATGGCTGGGACCTAGCCAACGAGGGCGGAGCTGTTGCCTGAAGTCCACACCCAGGACCTTGTCCATCAACAGCAGAGATGAACTCGTCCATGCTCGTGGGTGACTGCTAGGGACATAATGCCCAGACTGACCTTCTCTCTCCTGGCCAATCAATTCATTCAAAAAAAAAAAATTGTGACAGCAGATTCCGTTCTCCTCCCCACCCCCCACGACCACCACCTGCTTCTTTCTTCCTTTGTTTTAGACAGAGTCTCACTCTGTGGCCCAGTCTGGTTTCAAAGTTGAGGCCCCTCTGCCTCGCCCTCATGAATGCTAGGATTACAAACCACTCTACTGGCTGACCCTTGGTTTCTTTTCTGTTCTTTTTCTTTTTCTTTTCTTTTCTTTTTTTCTTTCTTTTTTTTTTTTTTTTTGGCTTTTTCA